GTTTAATGACTATAACAACAAAGAAAAAGATTAGTTTTGTGGTCTTAACACATAAGGTTTAAAAATTCACCTGCAGATACAGTTTTTCCTGGAATCCATTACAAAGATATGTGTATAAAAATATTAGTAACTACATGTGTTAATTCTCACAATAAGTGAAATTCATACCCTTTACTCAGTTTTGCAGATGTCAAAACAGAAACCCAGAGAGGTTAAATTAAGTTGGCTAAGGACACATTCCAAAGAGTGATGACGTTCAAATTTAATCCCTGGTGGATTTGGACGAAGTTGGCACTTAAACCATTACACTACACTAAGTGATGCAGGAAAGAATAGCTACAACCAGTTTTACAAACACATAGCACATATAGCAATGAGAGCTTCTGTTGAGGAAAAGTTAATAATAATATTAAGTCACTACTCTGTGAAGCTGGGAGTGGGATGAAGGCAGAACTGCAAAAATTTTATCCAGGTATTTTGCTTTCTGGTAGCAAAACTCAGTGCAGAGGTGGAATCTGAAGAATCAAATAATCCTAATATAAACCCTAAAATAACCTTAACTCTAACCCAGAAAGTGCTATCTCAGTCTCTCTAGCTGTTTAAATTCCCTGATAACCACCAGATCTCATGCTATTTACCCCATTTTTATGATTAAATGCTGAGGAGTTTTCAGGGAACGTCACGTGACTTGCCCTTTTTTTTCCTGGTGCCCCTGGTCCCAGAGCCCTCAGCAGCTCTCTCCTGCAGTGAATCTCCCTGAAGCCCTGAGATGCCCATGATGATTTGTGGAGGCAACAGACCCTCATCACAGCTGACCCTCATCACAGCTGACTTTAAGCTGGGGCAAAGAACCATAGCAATGGCTTCAAGCCTGGACAGCCTTGTAGCCCCAATCTCCCTAAAGGGTGAGGGCCTGAAACTGCATGGGAATTTTTTAGAAAACAGGCAGCTCCCTCCTGCAGGAGGTCTTGTGAAAGACATTTGCATGATCTGACCACTCAGGCCCCAGAGTTCAGGCCGTGACAGTAATTCCTAATCTAACCCTGTAGGTAGCTTTGGAAGTTGATGAATGCAGCCAAATGATTGATTTTGAATGACTGAACCCTCACTGGACAGAACCATATTTATGTACAAGTACTCAGTAACAGGATCCTTTCAAAAAGTCAACTCTATTCTTTGTTTCTTCTGATTATAAAATAATAATACATGCTTGATGATAAAAATGCACAACATAAATATGTATTTACATAGGAAAGTGAAAGATTCCAGTAACCATACGCCAAGATACAACCTCAATCAACAGTTTTTGTATCTTCTGATAGAGTTTTCTTTGTGTATCCACAGACATCTATCTGTCCTTCTTGCTCCAGAGAGATGACACTCTACACTTAGGTATCACTTCATATTAAATCATAGAGACCTACCTCATTTTTAAAGTCTCCTACAAAGTATTCCATGTCACATATGGACCATCGTTTATTTACACAATCCTTTATATATATCTTTTTTTTTTTTGGGGGGGGAACAGGGTCTCACTGTGTCACCCAGGCTGGAGTGCAGTGGTGCAATCATGGCTCATTGCAGCCTCAAGTTCTGAGCTCAAGCCATCCTCCCACCTCAGCCTCCCAGAGTTGCTAGGACCACAGGCACACACCACTCCCAGCTAATTTTTGTATTTTGTAGATACAGGATTTTGCCATGTTGCCCAGGCTGGCCTCGAACTCCTGACCTCAGGTGATCTGCCCACCGCTGCCTCCCAAAGTGCTGGGATTACAGGCGTGAGCCATCGCACCCTGGCAACCTGTTACATTTTTTGCAGAATAATTCTCAGGCTCTGTCAACATTGCTTTCCTAAGTCGTTCTTTGCCCAAATCCCACTGCCTGCTTTACTTTTATCCAAATGTACCCTGATGTCACTGGGACCTCCCAGAGACTTAGGGAAGCTGTCTGAACTCCAGCTCCCTGGCTTTGGGTGTCTGGAAGCCCCGCTCTCATGTCTGAATCTTACTTCCTCTTGATTCTGCTTCTCTTAGTGAATCCAGGCAGCCTTCTCATGCCTGTCACTCACCAAACCTAGACATGAAGCTTCATCCTTTCTCCTCTAAGAGCAGTCCATTGTGGGCAAGGATTTCATTGAAGTTTTGGTAGCGAAGCAGGGAAGGGTTGACACTGGGTTCAGTGAATCCATCCACCATTTCTCCCTCTGACTCCCCTGCCTCCCCAACCCTTTGGTTCCCAAGGCAAGAGCCTCTGTCACAAGAAGTTGTCAGGAAATGTAATGCCTCATCCCACAGCCCATCGGGCCAGCCTGTCTTTCTCAGCCCCATCTCGCACTTCTGGCGAATAAGAAGCCCTCCATCTTGTCATGCAAAAATACTGCCTCTCCATTCCGGAAGCCCGGTAGCTCCGAGTCTGCAGCTCTGTTTTGCCATCTGTTCTGTGGTTATCTCACGTGGATCATGTGAGGCCTAAAGCTCTGCTCCTTTGGGCAGGAAGTAGAATTTCCAGATTCACCCATTGTTTAAAAGAATCCCACAGGGTAGGTGGCTTAAACCTGTAATCCCAGCACGTTGGGAGGAAGAGGCATGAGGATAGCTTGAGCCCAGGAGTTGAAGACAAGCCTGAGCAACATAGCAAGACTCTGTCTCTACAAATAAAAAAAACTCAGTTGGGCATGGTGGCACACACCTGTTGTCCCAGCTACTGGAGAGGCTGAGCCCAGAGGATCACTTGAGCCAGGGAGGTTGAGGCTGCAGTGAGCTGTGATCGCGCCATTATATTCCAGCCTGGGCAACAAAGTGAGACCCTGTCTCAAAAAAAAAAAAAAAAAGAATTCCCCTCCGACAGTAAGACAAGCACAGTGCCTTTTCCTGTGTAGCCCTATTGGCAGTAGTAATTCAGGATTTGATTGCTTAATCATTGCATGCCCACTGTCCTGTGACTCAACCTCCTCTAAATTTATGCCCTGCAGCCAGTTGCAGTTTTTGCCAGCTTCAGAGGAAGGGACATCCACTTAGAAGTTAGTATGATAACTTTAAGCCACATTGTGCCAGAAAATAAACTGAGACACATAACATGGGGAGTGACTCTGGACTGGTCCAAGACATCAGAAAATCTCTTCATTCAAACACCAGTCAGTAAGATGAATTATGGAGACATTCTCTTGAATAGTCCTCCTTAGTGGTATTTTGTTAATTTTGCTGTATGTGGACAGCCATAGCAGCTCATTCGTATGGTCTGTTTCTAAACGTGTTGTTTCTTGGACAATGTACATACAGAAGCCATTCTCCTCTTCTGATGCCAGCCACTCTACTGAGAGTAGTACAGATGCCTGCACCATCCTTGATTATCTAATTTTCTTTTTCCAATAATCTTATGAGATAAGGTATTATTATCTTCACTTAAAAATGAAACAACTGAATTTCCAAGAAGATACATGACCAAAGTCACACAGCCAGTAAATGCTGGAGTCAGGATTCAAACGTAGCTCAGAATCACTCCAAAAGCCATGCTCTTTGTCACAATTGGACCACCATTGAGAATGGAACGTTCTGACTCAGTTCCTGTTCTTACATTCCAAGGTTCTTTGGGAACCATTTTCCAAACTAGTAGTAATTTCTAAAACCCAGAAAAACAACGTAACTAACTTAAAAATAAGTTCTAAAAATCTTGAATGTTTGCACTTGAGAAATCTTATATTTAGTTAGTGGAGGTAGAAGACATAGACTTTTGAGAATGTTTTAAAGGGAAGTTGAGAGAATTTTCAAGGGTTTAGAGGCTAATGGTATGGGCTCTTTACTTTTAGTTTAGTTTTTTATTTTTATTGTGAAAAAAAAACCTCTAAGAAAAGTTTATAACATGTGTATATATATATATGGTACTGGTTAAAAATAGAAAATTACACTACCTGGTGACCTTCCCCAGTCATATAACATTAGTACCGTGCTATATTTGTGTACTAGGGACACATTTCCCTTTTCTTGGCATTATCAGGACTATTTTTTACTCATTAACCTTGATTAGAATCATTCTAGTGATTTGTGGAAGAACAAATAGAAAGAGAAAGGGAAAATCATTCCTGTGGTCACAGGAAAAGAACCAGAAGAAGGAGAAAGAGAGAGATGATTAAAGGGAATAGTTGGATAGGTATTTATAAGAAGACTTTTTTCTGAGGTGGAATGAATGGAGCTAGAAAGGAAAAGGTGGCGTGGGCTTCGGAAAGGAGAAAGGATGTGCTGGGGAAGGGATAGAGCTATTGGCACTGTGGGTTGGAGGTTTGGCTGCTCTCCGGAGCAAGCGAGGAGGAAGGGGCAGCCCAGGCGGGAGGAGAGGGGGCATTTTGGAGATGGACACTCACCAGTTCGGTTAGTCATCATTTGGGAGATATCCCCTAGACTGAGTGTCCTAGAGTGTGACTCTCCCGTGTTCTGTTCTAAATGGAAAGATCAATGCCCAGGAATCATTGTTGTTTTTAACCAACATAAAATGTTGTTTAAATATTGAGTGCGCCTGTAATCCCAGCACTTTGGGAGGCCGAGGCAGGCGGATCACTGAAGCTCAGGAGTTCAAGACCAGCCTGGCCAACATGATGAAACCCTGTCTCTACTAAAAATACGACAATTAGCCGGGTGTCGTGGTGGGCACCTGTAATTCCAGCTATGGGGGGCTAAGGCAGGAAAATCACCTGAATCCGGGAGGCAGAGGTTTCAGTGAGCTGAGGTCACACCACTTCACTCCAGCCTGGGTGACAGAGCGAGACTCTTGTCTCAAGAAATAAAAATAAAAATAAATAAATACAGAGTGGGTGTTGAAGTGAACAGGTTAGGAACTGAAAGGACAACAGCAGGAATCTGAGTAGTATTTCAGAAGTAAAAAAAGGACCACAAGTCATTTAGTAGGCTGGAAATGACAAAAGAGACTCATAACTAAACTTTATCAGTAAATGCCTTTGTTTAATTTATCACTACAGTTTACATCACCTTTTTTTTTTTTTTTTCCAGGAGCCTTGCAAACAACAATCTCCAGACACTCCCAAAAGATATTTTCAAAGGCCTGGATTCTTTAACAAATGTGTAAGAGGACCTAAGAAATCAATGAACAATTAATTAATTTGCAGTCATTACAAGGAAGCCTGGTATTGATTATTAGAATTTTTAATTGGCTTTTAAATTAAAATTAGGATTTGTAAATCTGAATTTTAACTGGCTAAAAATTTAAATTTACATGGACTAACATTTGAGTCTTCTGTGATATTTATCATTGGAAATTCTGAATATGTGGCACCCAGGCATTCCTTTGACAAAGTGTGTGTCTATATGGCAGGGAGCGACGGTAAGGGACTTTGACAGGGTGGGAAGAGACCCGGCTAGAAATTTCAAGATCCCTATTTTCTCATGAGGTCCAGGAAATAGGGCTACAAAGGGAAAACATAAAAGGAGTCTGGGAAACTGACAGAATAAAGATGAAATGTTACACCCTTGGGTTGGTCAGTCAACAGAGAAATGGAGCAGGAAGTGGGGGAAGGGAGAAAAGTTTGCCTTTTTTCTCATTAGACTGAACAACAACTCTAAGCCTAATCCCCAGGAATTTGGCTTAAGCCCCAGGAAGGGAATGAACTTAATTATTTTTGACCCTTTTTCAAACAAAAGAGCTTTCAAACTTTGACTTTTAAGCCTCCGAGTGAAAGATCTTTGCAAGGAATTTGTACATTTTGCTGTAAGCAAAGCAAGTAATATATGCCTAAACCTCTCAAAAGCAATTCAGCCTCATTATTTGCCTTCCAGAACATTAGAAAGGTATTTAAATGTCATAAGGTGGAATACAGGAACAAATGAAAGGATATATGATAACAAAAGCTTTTTAAAAAAAGTATTCAGGTACTTTGCTGTAAACTATATATTCAAAATAACTTTTCTCCAATAACAAGCAAAAAGAAAATCTGAGTCAAGTACTTTTTTCCAAGCCCAGTATTTAACTTCAAATCAGTAGCCTAATGAAAAACTTTCTTTGTTCCTTGCAGTATTTCCCCAGCCCCTCCTCCATGTCTATTACCCCAATTCCTGAATGATGGTTTAATTCCAGGAGAACGCCCAAATCAAGATTCTTCCAAGAGAGTCCTGGACAGACCATAGTTATCTTCTCTGGTTTACAGTAGCCTGAAAGGTTGCCACTCATTAGTGTGGGTCAGAGTTCTCCTGGGAGACTAGGTCAGTTCTGGGAGTGTCTTGGAAGTTAGAACACACTCCATGGGTGACGTGGGATGTAGCTCATTGGGGATCCTTTACCCCATTTTTGTGTCAGTCTATACCCTACACTAGTGAAAAACAAAACAAAAAAATATTGAAATTGGCTCAGTCTCTCCAGGGAATCCCAAGATGGGTTTAGCCTTTTGGACCTACTCTAATATGCCCAAATCAAGAATTATCTTAGAAGTACAAGGATCCATGCCAACTTGCCTTTTAGTGGATTTCTTGGCTTTCTTGAAAGTATCCTCTAAAAAACATTTTTAAATGTTTGGGCGTTTAAAAATTATTTATGTGCGGTGTGAAGAGTAGGCAGCACCTATCTTAAGAATTCTGTGTGACCAGGAAAGGAGGTGGAATTCCTGAACAGAAGCAATGCAAATACACAGAGAACTTGGTGAGTTGGGGTCATATGTGGAAATGTAAATGATCTATGCTGTATAACTTATTACAGGCATGAGCGATTGTATGTCTGTGCTAACTTTGCTGTGTCAAAGTCATTTCCTATTTAAACTGAATTTGTAGACCACAGAAGAGGATCAGGATTAATTATGTCTGTGAGGAAGAAGAGAAGCAAACAGCTCACTTGATTTAATTAAATACATTACAATAATCACTACATTCTGTCCTTTAGACCTGTGCTGTCCAATAGGGTAGCCACCAGACATCTATGGTCACTGAGCACCTAAAATGTGCTCCTAGTACAACTGAGAGACTGAATTTTAAATTTTACTTAATTTTTTAACAGTTAAATTTAAATTTAAAAGCTGATTCTCAGCTCAATTACTGGAAAATGTTAAGTATGTTTGGAACAATTTGGGTATATACATCTTTTTTTTCGATTATGAATTTTATGACATCTAAATATAGATCACCTATTTCTGGTAAAATTTAGCATCTGAATTAAGATATATTATAGGTATAAAATACACACTGGACTTCAAAGACTTAGTATAAAAAAGGAATGTAAAATATCTCAATAATGTTTATATTGATGATGTGTCAAAATGATCATCTTTTGTATGTACTGGGTTAAATAAAACATATTATTAAAATGAATTATACCTGCTTCTTTTTACTTTTTTAATGTGGCTATAGAAAATTTTAAATTACATTTATGGTTCATATACTGTTTCTATTGACAGCACAGCCCTAGACTAAGCCACTTGGGGATCCAAGAGGGAATAAGTGATGAGGTTCCATTGACTGGGTAGTCTTCAAGTGTGCATGGTGCTAAGTCTCTGAGCCCCAGTGAGTGGTCAGTCAGGTTCCAGGCGGGTTATAGGGCAGGATGTAAAGCTGGGTAAGGTCATTCTGCACATGTTAATTGTTCATGTAGAACTCTCTCCTGTGTGGGTAGGGCCCTTGTACAGCAAAAGCAGCTGAAGTTTGTCTTTCAGGGACCTGAGGGGTAATTCATTTAATTGTGACTGTAAACTGAAATGGCTAGTGGAATGGCTTGGCCACACCAATGCAACTGTTGAAGACATCTACTGTGAAGGCCCCCCAGAATACAAGAAGCGCAAAATCAATAGTCTCTCCTCCAAGGATTTCGATTGCATCATTACAGGTAATGTACTCATCATCATTCCATCTCATAAAATTAAAATAAGAGCTACCTTTTTTTTTTCCATATGCAGGAACTGATATTTTTTATATCTTAAAAACCAACTGAGCAATTTGATTTTTAAAAAATTATGAACCATTGACAATGCTTCATGCGTTTAAAAGAAAAGTAAAATGGCCATTTTACTATTCTCTGAAATACATGTATTTCTTATGAATATTTGAGATCCAGCCAAGGAGAGAGGTATTAGCTCACAGTTATTTATCATTTCCTCTTTTTGCAGAATTTGCAAAGTCTCAAGACCTGCCTTATCAATCATTGTCCATAGACACTTTTTCTTATTTGAATGATGAGTATGTAGTCATCGCTCAGCCTTTTACTGGAAAATGCATTTTCCTTGAATGGGACCATGTGGAAAAGACCTTCCGGAATTATGACAACATTACAGGTATGAAAAGCCTAATAATATTTTGAGTGGGAAGTTAAATTACTTCAGCCAAGGGCAACAAGGAAAGATGAGTGGTATAGGGGAATGCTTTAGCAGACCTAACGTCATTTGAATTCCAACTCTACCATTTGCTAAATGACCTGGGATTGTTCTCTAAGCCATAATTTCCCCACTTGTAAAATGGGAATAATATTAATACTTAACTCACAGGGTTGTTAATAAGATCATGTGAACACATATTCAAGAAACTTAGCATAGGGTCTAGTATAATACATAATCAGTAAATATTTGATTATTTTTCTTCAAAGAAAAGTATTGGATGGTGAATCAGGAGTTCTAGTCCAGGTTCTGCCACAGTCTCTTTGGGCGAGCCGCTCATACTCACGGATACCCCCAACCCCTTTTTCTTAACTATAAGATAAGAAGGTAATTTTAGATCACTAAGTCTCAAACTTTGTTACACAAACATTTCTTCTACAAAATGTTAATGTATGCCTTGTAACAAAAAGGATTTTGTGGTTCAATAAACTCGTGAACCATATCTTGGTCTTGTAGATTCATAATACATACATCTGTGAATCCGAGAAGTCCTCCAGTGAGGAAATTTTTCCCGTATTTCTCACCCTTAATTTGGCCATGGAATCTAATTCTTTCTTTTTTTTTTTTTTTTTGAGACGCAGTCTCACTCTGTTGCCCAGGCTGGAGTGCAGTGGCATGATCTGGGGTCACTGCAACCTCAGCCTCCTGGGTTCAAGCAATTCTTGTCCTTCAGCCTCCCAAGTAGCTGGGACTACAGGCGTGCACCACCATGCCCCGATAATTTTTGTAATTTTAGTAGAGATGGAGTTTTGCCAAGTTGGTCAGGCTGGTTTCAAACTCCTGGCCTCAAGTGATCCACCTGCCTCGGCCTCCCAAAGGTCTGGGATTACAGGAATGAAGCACCTTGCCTGGCCTTACTTAGCTGATCTCTTAAGTCTCTTTCCCATTTTAATAATTTTTAAAATTATAAGTCATTAGTTAGAACATAGGGCTCCCTCTACAATATTTAATATCAGCTTTAGCTTCTAATACCATTAAATCTGCTCTCAAGAGCACTCACACCTCCCCATAAAAGGTAAGCCTTTAGATAAGGCATGGAGGGTCATGAGAGATTTTACTGGTAGCCATCACCCTCATTGCTCAAAGGACCAAGACAGGTCTGGGGCTTGCTCAAGGCTGGGGTTACTTAAATAAAGGGATCCCTTCCAAACTGAGACCATTTTATAATCTAAAAGAAACTCCTTTCTTTTAGAATCCTCCTTTCTGAAGGAAGAAGGTCATGTTTCCCTAGTCCCCCATAAGTTTTCCAGTGGACTATAGCAGGGTTCTGTGCAGTCAAAACCAGGCTCTTCTTACTTGTGTATGGTTCATCAATTTCTTTGAATGGCTCTTTAGATGAGCACTTACAAGAGAAATAAATCATACATCTGCAAAATTTCAGAGGGCACCTCAGAGCATCTTTTCTAGGATGATGTCTTAGTCCCTTCTTGCTGCTGTAACAAAAAATACTTTGACTGGGTCATTTATAAGAACAGAAATTTATTTCTCATAGTTCTGGAGGCTGGAAACTCCATGATCAAGGCACCAGGAGATTTAGGGTCTGGTGAGGGCTCACTCTCTGCTTCAAAGACGGTGCCTTCTCTATGTCCTAACATGGCAGAAGGGCAGAAAAAGATCTAACAGACTTGTTCAAGCCCTTTTCCAAGGGCACTAATTCCATTCATGAGTGTGGAGTCCTCATGATCTAATCACCTCCTAGACACCCCACTTCTTAATACTATTACACTGGGGATTAAACTACAACATAAATTTTGGAGGGACACAAACATTCCAACCATAGCAGATGACAAATATGTGTCCCATGCTCAGTCATTATCCCTTCCTTCACTCTAGACAGGCATCACTAATCTATCATGGTAATCGTTCATGTAGAGTGCAGACACGGCCACAGAATCCTTCTCAACACAGTTCCCCAGGCAATCACAGTCAATGAGCCAATCAGTATTGGTACGTGTTGGAATCTGGTGGCCATCCTTAATCTAGTCTAAAGTCTCATTGTACAGAAAAGAAAACTGAGCCTCAGAGAAGTTAAATGATTTTCTTAAGATCATACAATCAGTTTAGCCCTGAAAAGAGTCACAAAGAAAACTACCTTGCCTATGGATTAGTAGAAAGCCAATTAGTAGAAAGAGTTAATGTAGAACTTTCTGCTCCGCACTAGAGCTGTAGTCAGAAGAGGCCTAAAGCCCAGATTTGCCCAGCTGTCTCTGGATTTTCTAGAGCCAAACTCCTTCTGTGAGATCAGAATCTCACAGGTTAGATAAGTATCAAACTCTTCCCCAAAGGATATCAAGCTAGGCCACTGACAGATCCCACATCATTTTCTGTGATTTCCCAAAATAACTTTCAGGAGCATTGCCCATAGCTGCCCCCGTCTTTCGATTTTCTTAAACATTCCTCTTCCTTCTCTTCACTCCTGCCACCAGTGACCTAAAGCTCCAGAAAAGTGAAAAGTGGCATCTCCTTTCTTTGCAGGGGAAAGGCGAGTTATTCTAGAGCAGGAAGCAGTTCAGACTTAGAGCAAAACAATTACAGTAGAGCCATGGGCTACCCAGACCACAATGCTAGCCTTTGGTTACCTAAGATCTTAGATAACCCAAATTTGAAGTCCTGGAATAGCTAACTTGTCCCCAGCTTGGATTAAAAGCATAGACACGCTGGTAGGCCTGTCTTTGAATCCCCAACTCTGCCTTCTGCTACCAAAACAGCCTCTCTGAGCTTCAGTTTACTCATGTGGAAAAAGAGATACTATTTATCTCTTAAGATTGTTGGGAAAATTAATGAGGTAAATTGAGAAAGCACATAATAGATGCTCAGTAAACAGTAGTTTTCATTAGAATTATGATTAACCCATAATATGTCAGGGAAAGTAATGCTTTCTTTCTGCAAGAAGTAAGAGAACACTCGGGCCATAGCTGTGTGTCCTGAACGTCTAGAGCAGGCTGGATGTGACGTTAACAACTCAATTGTTGGTAACAAGGCCCCACGAGGCACAAAGGCACAGAACTTCAGGACACTGCTGCCATTGGGCTTTGGAGACCAGCCTTGCCTAATCAACCAAGGAGATCTCTTGTTTCAGGCTGATTTGGGTGGAAGTTGTATGGCCCCAGCCTGCATGTTTACATGCTCCAAAAGAGGATGGCCACACAACTAACCTCTCCTTTGTCTTTTCCCAGGCACATCCACTGTAGTATGCAAGCCTATAGTCATTGAAACTCAGCTCTATGTTATTGTGGCCCAGCTGTTTGGTGGCTCTCACATCTATAAGCGAGACAGTTTTGCAAATAAATTCATAAAAATCCAGGATATTGAAATTCTCAAAATCCGAAAACCCAATGACATTGAAACATTCAAGATTGAAAACAACTGGTACTTTGTTGTTGCTGACAGTTCAAAAGCTGGTTTTACTACCATTTACAAATGGAACGGAAACGGATTCTACTCCCATCAATCCTTACATGCGTGGTACAGGGACACTGATGTGGAATATCTAGAAATAGTCAGAACACCTCAGACACTCAGAACGCCTCATTTAATTCTGTCCAGTAGTTCCCAGCGTCCTGTAATTTATCAGTGGAACAAAGCAACACAATTATTCACTAACCAAACTGACATTCCTAACATGGAGGATGTGTACGCAGTGAAGCACTTCTCAGTGAAAGGGGACGTGTACATTTGCTTGACAAGATTCATTGGTGATTCCAAAGTCATGAAATGGGGAGGCTCCTCGTTCCAGGATATTCAGAGGATGCCGTCGCGAGGATCCATGGTGTTCCAGCCTCTTCAGATAAATAATTACCAATATGCAATTCTTGGAAGTGATTACTCCTTTACTCAAGTGTATAACTGGGATGCAGAAAAAGCCAAATTTGTGAAATTTCAGGAATTAAATGTTCAGGCACCAAGATCATTCACACATGTGTCCATTAATAAGCGTAATTTTCTTTTTGCTTCCAGTTTTAAGGGAAATACACAGATTTACAAACATGTCATAGTTGACTTAAGCGCATGAGACACCAAATTCTGTGGCTGCCATCAGAAATTTTCTACAGTACATGACCCGGATGAACTCAATGCATGACGACTCTTCTTATTACACTTGCAAATGAATGCCTTTCAAACATTGAGACTGCTAGAACCAAGCACTACCAGTATCTCCATCCTTAACTGTCCAGTCCAGTGATGTGGGAAGTTACCTTTTATAAGACAAAATTTAATTGTGTAACTGTTCTTTGCAGTGAAGATGTGTAAATAAGCGTTTAATGGTATCTGTTACTCCAAAAAGAAATATTAATATGTACTTTTCCATTTATTTATTCATGTGTTCAGAAACAACTGCCAAATAAAATGTTTACATTTTCTTTCATATCCCAAAGGTAATTATTTACAGGAGCTGTTTTATTCTTGTTGTTGGTTTGTTGAAGAAATAGTTTTATATAATAGCTTTGTATTTGGATCAAGGATTTACAGTGTGAATAATGAATGAAGATAAAATTATGGGTAATCTGATATTGATTACCCATAATTTATGACCAGGTTTATATGTGGCTGGATCAGATGATTTTGAACATTCAAAGGTATTTCCAAAGGTCATGGCCTTTCGGGATAATTTGAGGTGAAATGGTGACAAATTAAAAGAAAGGTAGAGAAATTTGCCTACTACAAGAGGACTGATTTGAAATTAGTGACAGCAAGACCCATCCTTTCCTGACTGATAGCCCCAGCTAAAATCATCACTCAGACAACTTCTAGGAGAAAGTAAAATCAAGAATTAGGATCTCAATACTCTATTTAGGGTCTTCCTAAACATCTGACAGCTGATAGAGATTGTAACCTTACAGCGTTTGCCTCAAATGTACCTGTCATGAAGGCCTCTTAATCTGACCAAGGATGCTTCACTTCTAGATACAATTTTGATTTGTTATTTACCTGCTGCAGAGTGCCCAAAAGGCTCATACCTGATTTTCTAAATTTCTGCTTCTGGATCACATGGGTCATTAGCACAATGCCTGTGATACAGTAGGCTCTCAAAAAATGCTTTTAAAGAAGCATGTGTCCTCCTGTTATAATATCATAAGAAACTTTCTGAGGCCTTTTGACCTAATTATTGCCTACCTCCTAAGAATGGGGTATTGTTCAGCAGGGGTGGGGGACTGAGGCAGAATAAGGCCCTCTGAGGCCTTAGAAGACTAACTGGGGTGTTACAACACAAAAAACCTACAGAGCAAGCAGTGAGTGCCAAGTACCTTCTAAACATTCCAGATTATAAGTATCCTGGGAGTATCAAGATGACTTTCTGGAAGTCTAGGTTCTTGTTTGAACTGAAAAGGAAGATGTAATTTCAAAGGGGGATCATGGCAGAGAAGATATTCCTGGCACGAACTGGTTCTGTGTGCTGCCTTCACGGAGGTGGTCAGAGCTTGCTCCTGCTCATGGTTTGCTGGACTCTTTTGCCATGTAAGTGTGGTCGGGAAGGGCAGACAGCAGCCCCCGGCATATCTAGAAGACTTGAGGCATCAAAGGTACACACATACTTACATAGTTTCTGTGAAGCAATTCCCTGGAGAGTTATGCACAGGAACCAGATTCCCATATGGGAAAGATAATAACTCTGACATCAGGATTATGGGAGAGAAGAATACCTCACTCCCAAACTGGCCTTTGAATGTCTTATTTTTTTCAGTTCCCTTTTCCTGTAAGCAGCATCATATGCTATTGGAGAACACCTGCTCTGTACAGGCTAGGTTGAACTCCAGCTCTGCCATGTACTGGCCTTGTCCACAGGCCAGTTGCTTAGCCCCGCTGAGCCTCAGTTTCTTTCCCTGTAAAGAGGGACAATAATACCTACTTCCAAAGATAATGAAAGGATTAAATGAGACAGTACATGCACGGCGGATTTTATTTCCCAGATATGACCACAACAATAGCTGCCATCCCATGTGCTCTGTGACAGCCTTTCCCCCATCCCCTCAAGAGGCAGTACCTAGTTCACCTACTCTTAAACGTGAATGAATTTATGACTTGCTCGTAATAGAATGTGGTGGGAATAATATAGTTGATTTCTGAGGCTAGGTCATAAAAATGATGAAGCTTCTCTCCTACCTTGTAAACTGGGACACTTGATTTTGGAGCTGTGAGCAGCCACCTTCAAAAGTCCTACTAGCCTGAGGCTACCGTTCTGTGATGAAACCCAGCCCCCATGGAGAAACCACACGTAGGTGCCTTGGTCAACAGACCCAGCCAAGGCCATCCTCAGCCACCGGTTCTGTAAGTGAAGACGCCTCTGGGTGATCCCAGCTCCAGCTGACAAGTCACTACCAGACTTCAGATCTTCCCAGCAGAGGCTCCAGACATTGCAGAGCAGAGACAAGCCATCCCCACTGTGTCCTGTCCAAATGCCTGACCCACGGACTCTATGAGCATAATAAAATGGCTTAAATTGTTTTAAATGGCTAAGTTTTTGGGTGATTTGTTACACAACAGCAGTCGAATACTTAACATGGAAGTGGCACAACTAAGCACTTACCGAGTGATAGTTATTGTTAACAGGCACCCCACACTCAGAATATTGCATACTTTGGGATCATGCTCTACCTTATTATGTTAATGTAATTCTCCATCATTTCATTTTTTAGAGAATAACTCCTTTTTTTTTTTTTTTATTTTGAGATGGAGTCTTGCTCAGTCACCCAGGCTGGAGTGAAGTGGCGCCATCTCGACTCACTGCAACCTCTGCCTCCCAGGTTTAAGCAATTCTCTTGCCTCAGCCTCCCAAGTAGCTGGTATTACAGGCGCCTGCCGCCACAGCCGGATTTTTTTTTTTTTTTTTTTTTTGTATTTTTAGTAGAGGTGGGGTTTTGCCATGTTAGTCAGGCTGGTCTTGAACTCCTGACCTCAGGTGATCCACTGCCTCGGCCCCCCAAAGTGCTGGGATTACAGACATAAGCCACCACGTCCAGCTGAGAATAGCTCCTTTTAAAACATACATTATCAGTGTTCTTTGTGCCAGGCATTGTGCTGAATTCAGGAATGCAGAGATTAAAAGACCCAGATTCTGCCCTATTTGTTTTTATTTTTTAATTTTAGGGTCCTGCTGTGTTGCCCAGGCAGTAATGTTGTGGTGCAATCGTAGCTCACTACAGCATTAAACTCCTGGGCTAAGTGATCCTCCTGCATAACTGAGATTGCAGGCAAGTACTACCACACTCAGCTAATTTTTTAAATTGTTGTAGAGACAGGGTCTTGCTATGTTGCCCAGGTTAATCTCAACTCCTGGCCTCAAGAAATTCTCCCACCTTAGCCTCCCAAAGTGCTGGGATTATAGGTGTGAGCCAAAGCACTCAGCCAGCCCTTCTTGTTTTCAGAAAAGCACTGACTGTTGAAGCTAGCAAACTGACTCTCTAATTTACCTTCAAGCTGGAGACCCAGAGGTGTATGTGAAGTAAGCTAGCTGAAATAGGACCATCTTCCAACCTGACACTCAGCCCAGTCCTTTCTCCATCACGTGGTGCCACTTTTCAAATATTCACTATCTGATTAGAACTTGGCATGTAGATGGGAAGATTGATGAGGGGTAAAGAGAAGACCAAGAAAATTAATTCAAGAAAGACTGAGGAGGAGGACACGGGTAGGGTTCGCCTTTGCAGGAAATGACTAGCCTTTTCTGAGAGTTGTCCCCTCTCCCTGTACCCTTCATCTACCCTATACTATTTAACTCTGTCCCCTCTGCAGCCACAGAAGGTTGCACCTGTAATGCATTCCCAATGTTCACCTGAAATGAACTCCAGGTGTTCGTCCTAGATGCTGGGCTGAGCTCAGCCTGAGCCAAGCTGCACACAGGGAGCACTGGTCTTTGAATGGGAGTTCAAAGAGAAAGAACTTTGAGTTCTGTCTCCTGGATATTTGGAATTAGGACAGCAAAGGCTGAGCCAATTTGCCACAAGCACAGGATCTGTAAGGAGATGAGCCTAAATCAGGCTCCTTAGAGGCAGAGGGATTGATTGAGGGAGTGCTCTCAGGCTACACCTGAAGGGAGTGAGAGGAGCAGCATGGGACAGGGGAAGATGCTATGCAAAGACAGGAAAAGACAGGCTACACCTGATCCTAGGGGGCTGTCCAGAGTGGGAATTGTACCACGGAGTGTGTCCTGCCTTGAAGCAAGGAGGATGGACTTTTGCACACCCCCACCCATCTGACAGTCATTGGCCAAGGAGTGTGAGGCAAAACCTTTTGGGCATCTCCAGGAGAGAAGCTTCCAGTTGGTAAAGGATAGTCCTCCAGAGAAGGGTACACATATGAGCTGTTATTAACTGACACCCACAGCAGCTGCAGGATGAGGACGTCAGCCCAGTAAAGGCATTGGGGTGAGATACCGACAGCATATACCACAGTGATGGTGACTGGGGAGCTGAAGACACCATTTGGGGGCAGCCATGATGGTCCATGTGCCAGAAGAGCTGAGGAAATTGGTCAGAAGGTGAGAAGAGAATGACATGAGAGCTCAGAAAGGAGCCAAGGTGAGAAACTCCACAGTATGAGGGAGAGCAAGAGAGAGAATAGAGAGAAGAAAGAAGATAGAAAAAGGGTGAGAAAAAGAGGGAGGAAAAGAGGGAACAAGGGAGAGCAAAAAGGAAGAGGAAGTGGGGAGGGAGGGATGGTGAGAGGAAGATGGGGAGGTACAGTGTTCCTGGTTGGGTTATCTGGTAACCAAACTCTGAGAAGTTACTGTACAGACATTAATTAAGGAGTCCTCTTGAGGTCATCACCTGGGAAGGAGAAAATGGAAATAGGATTGGGTGGAGGGAGGCACTAAACTGTGACAAAATTCTAATAAAAGCCTCAGGCAACCTGGTAGCTGCTCTAACTTGAGACAGCTGAGCTGGGATGTCCCTTCTCAGTTGTCTCAAGTTAGAGCAAGGGGACCAGGTCTTTTTATGTAGGCAGTATCCATGCTGGTTAGCCACTGGATGCAGCTCCCTGCCCTTGAATTCCTCAAGGGATGATATGGTTTGGCTGTGTCCCCACCCAGATCTCATCTTGAATTGTAGCTCCCACAATTCCCGTGTGTTGTGGGCAGGACCATGTGGGAGGTAATTGAATCATAGGGGCGGGTCTTTCCCATGCTGTTCTCATGATAGTGAATAGACCTCACGAGATCTGATGGTTTTTATAAAGGCGAGTTCCCCTGCACAAGCTCTCTCTTGCCCCTTGCTCTAACGCCATAATTCTGAGGCCTCCCCAGCCATCTGAAACTGTGAGTCCATTGAACCTCTGTTTCTTTATAAATTACCCAGTCTCAGGTATGTCTTTATTAGCAGCGTAAAATTGGACTAATACAAGGGACTTCTATAACCTTCTAATGACAGCCCATGCACATATACATT